GTTGATTTTTGTCTAAATTTTGATTTGTTGATTTCTGTAAGATTTTTTTATTTTTTATTAACCCTCAATACCGAAATGATCCCGGGATTGACTAAGTATAATATTGAAATCCCGGGATTAGAAATAAGGACCGGGATCAAATTCCCTAATGACGTTATAAGCAGGTTAAACTGTATATGGTTAATAAGGATCTATTTTAACCCTTTAAGTTTCTTGTTTCGGGAAAAAAGTCGCTTGGAAAATTACCTTGTAATTAAATAACAAAGAAAAAAAGTTTATTTTAATTTAAAAAAAAGTTTTAAACAGTTTTTGTGTTTGCGCCTTGGATGGTTCCTAAATGGAGTCTTTCCATCATGACAGCCCACTTTACAGGGGCATCCCATCCCTGCGATGGCAGCTTTTCCGTATAGGTTCGTTGTTTGCTGGGAAGCTGCCATCCGTGAGTAGAGTAGATAAATAATAATTTAAAAAATAAACATGACAAAACATTTAATAAAAATAAATTTAATGAGATAAAAGATATTTAAAAATAATATATAAAAGACACAATGATAAAAATACAAAAATTGAATCATAAAAATACAATATAAGATAAAAAAAAGACAATATACTACGAAAAAAATAAAATGTATATAAAATTTGAAATTTTGCCTTTTACATAAAAGTTAAAAATATAATTTCGTGTGGTAAATTTCAAAACACGGTGCAGGACATAGTGCAACCTCACATTTTGGGCACCAATACCGTGTTTCTTTACGTATTTTCTTTCCGCTGTCATCGCGTCTGTTGCAACAGACAGCACAGCATCTCGTTGGGTTTGCTTTTTTTTCTGTTGGGGGAATAAACGCCGGGAAATGCCTTTCAACTAGCCTAAGAGGGCCTGGAGTCCTCGTTCGACTATGTTGGCCGATCATCGTTTCAGTGCGATAAGTCATTACCAGGCGATCTACTAAATTCATACGGAAAGATAAATTATTTCTTTCCCCACCATTTTTTTTATATAAAACGTGCGCGTTATATATTGAGAGGTCTAACAGTTGAAAAAATATTTTTTTGTAGTACTTTTTGCCCCTTTTCCTTGCCAGATGATAATTATGGATATGTTGATCTAAAAGATCAACACCTCCCATTTTCTGATTGTAATGGAGGACACATTCCGGTTTCATTACTTGTGTTCCGCTCCGAGTTTGTGTACTAATTAATTTTGGACTGTGGAATGTAGAGAGCATTGTAACAGTTTTCTTATCCTGCCACTTTTGGATTAATACTTTTCCTCTCTGCATTGCCACAGTCTCCCCTTTTTTCAATTTTTTTCTTTGAATTTCGTTTGGAACGTCTCTTCTTGTTAAGCGGAGCGTTCCACAATAATCGGTTTGGAAACTCAGTAGATAATCTGCTAACTGTGGCGATGTATAGAAGTTATCTGTTGTTAGGCAGTATCCTTTGCCTAACAACGGTTCTACTAAAGTAAGCACGATTTGGGTAGTTAACGGCATATTTTTGTATTTTTCGTTCAGTACAGTTCCTTTACCTGTATAAATTGTAAAATTCCACAAGTACCCCGAGGAAGATTCACACAAGTTATAAAATTTTATACCAAAACGTGCCCGTTTGCTACGAATGTACTGTTTCCATGAAAGACGGCCTTTGAACAAGAGCAGGCTCTCGTCAACAGTTATGTCTTCTTCTGGTGTGTACAGAGTGGAGAATTTAAAATTTAAATGTTCAATTAGTGGCCAAATTTTGTTTAGTTTTGGGTTAGGGTGAGTTTCTGGGTCGAATGTGTCTGTGTCAGCGAAATGTAAATACTTTTTTATGGTTAGAAATTTTTTTTTGGTCATTAGTTTACTAAATGAAGGAGTTAGAAACAGTTCATTCCTAGACCAGTACATTTTTTCATCCGGTTTGTACAGAATGCCTTCCATTATACATATTGCTAAAAATACAAACATTTCTTCTATAGATACTGGCTCCCATGTATCTGTTGATGCCCGTGCCTGTTGCATCGCGAAGCGGTTCGTTTCCGTTACTATTGTCGTGATAAGATTTAAATCAAAAAATAACAAAAAATACGCGAGAGGGTCGAAGTAATTATCTAAAGTGAAGTTGCATCCTGGAGTTCCCTGAAAGGGAAATCGCGGAGGAGCTGCAGGAGGGTTTTCTAAGCTGACATCACACCAAGTTCTGGAGGAGGTAGAGGAGGTGCTTCCACTGTCGTCATTATCCGACACCTCGCTTTCGCTGCCAAAGCTATCTGACATGCTTTCAGATAGCTGTGAATAATCAGAATCAGATTCCGATGACATTCTGCCAATAAAAAAATTCTCTAAAAGCCCGTTATATTTATCTAACGCGTAATAAAACAATTATTCGCTATTCTCCAAAAATAATATATTTCTTATAAACTTACTTGATATAATAGTACAATGTGTTTGTAAAATCAACGGACAATCAACGCTTTTCCAAGTATCTACTAAACGAAAAAAATTCTCTAAAAGCCCGTTATATTTATCTAACGCGCAATAAAACAATTATTCGCTATTCTCCAAAAATAATATATTTCTTATAAACTTACTTGATATAATAGTACAATGTGTTTGTAAAATCAACGGACAATCAACGCTTTTCCAAGTATCTACTAAACGAAAAAAATTCTCTAAAAGCCCGTTATATTTATCTAACGCGCAATAAAACAATTATTCGCTATTCTCCAAAAATAATATATTTCTTATAAACTTACTTGATATAATAGTACAATGTGTTTGTAAAATCAACGGACAATCAACGCTTTTCCAAGTATCTACTAAACGAAAAAAATTCTCTAAAAGCCCGTTATATTTATCTAACGCGCAATAAAACAATTATTCGCTATTCTCCAAAAATAATATATTTCTTATAAACTTACTTGATATAATAGTACAATGTGTTTGTAAAATCAACGGACAATCAACGCTTTTCCAAGTATCTACTAAACGAAAAAAATTCTCTAAAAGCCCGTTATATTTATCTAACGCGCAATAAAACAATTATTCGCTATTCTCCAAAAATAATATATTTCTTATAAACTTACTTGATATAATAGTACAATGTGTTTGTAAAATCAACGGACAATCAACGCTTTTCCAAGTATCTACTAAACGAAAAAAATTCTCTAAAAGCCCGTTATATTTATCTAACGCGCAATAAAACAATTATTCGCTATTCTCCAAAAATAATATATTTCTTATAAACTTACTTGATATAATAGTACAATGTGTTTGTAAAATCAACGGACAATCAACGCTTTTCCAAGTATCTACTAAACGAAAAAAATTCTCTAAAAGCCCGTTATATTTATCTAACGCGCAATAAAACAATTATTCGCTATTCTCCAAAAATAATATATTTCTTATAAACTTACTTGATATAATAGTACAATGTGTTTGTAAAATCAACGGACAATCAACGCTTTTCCAAGTATCTACTAAACGAAAAAAATTCTCTAAAAGCCCGTTATATTTATCTAACGCGCAATAAAACAATTATTCGCTATTCTCCAAAAATAATATATTTCTTATAAACTTACTTGATATAATAGTACAATGTGTTTGTAAAATCAACGGACAATCAACGCTTTTCCAAGTATCTACTAAACGAAAAAAATTCTCTAAAAGCCCGTTATATTTATCTAACGCGCAATAAAACAATTATTCGCTATTCTCCAAAAATAATATATTTCTTATAAACTTACTTGATATAATAGTACAATGTGTTTGTAAAATCAACGGACAATCAACGCTTTTCCAAGTATCTACTAAACGAAAAAAATTCTCTAAAAGCCCGTTATATTTATCTAACGCGCAATAAAACAATTATTCGCTATTCTCCAAAAATAATATATTTCTTATAAACTTACTTGATATAATAGTACAATGTGTTTGTAAAATCAACGGACAATCAACGCTTTTCCAAGTATCTACTAAACGAAAAAAATTCTCTAAAAGCCCGTTATATTTATCTAACGCGCAATAAAACAATTATTCGCTATTCTCCAAAAATAATATATTTCTTATAAACTTACTTGATATAATAGTACAATGTGTTTGTAAAATCAACGGACAATCAACGCTTTTCCAAGTATCTACTAAACGAAAAAAATTCTCTAAAAGCCCGTTATATTTATCTAACGCGCAATAAAACAATTATTCGCTATTCTCCAAAAATAATATATTTCTTATAAACTTACTTGATATAATAGTACAATGTGTTTGTAAAATCAACGGACAATCAACGCTTTTCCAAGTATCTACTAAACGAAAAAAATTCTCTAAAAGCCCGTTATATTTATCTAACGCGCAATAAAACAATTATTCGCTATTCTCCAAAAATAATATATTTCTTATAAACTTACTTGATATAATAGTACAATGTGTTTGTAAAATCAACGGACAATCAACGCTTTTCCAAGTATCTACTAAACGAAAAAAATTCTCTAAAAGCCCGTTATATTTATCTAACGCGCAATAAAACAATTATTCGCTATTCTCCAAAAATAATATATTTCTTATAAACTTACTTGATATAATAGTACAATGTGTTTGTAAAATCAACGGACAATCAACGCTTTTCCAAGTATCTACTAAACGAAAAAAATTCTCTAAAAGCCCGTTATATTTATCTAACGCGCAATAAAACAATTATTCGCTATTCTCCAAAAATAATATATTTCTTATAAACTTACTTGATATAATAGTACAATGTGTTTGTAAAATCAACGGACAATCAACGCTTTTCCAAGTATCTACTAAACGAAAAAAATTCTCTAAAAGCCCGTTATATTTATCTAACGCGCAATAAAACAATTATTCGCTATTCTCCAAAAATAATATATTTTTTATAAACTTACTTGAAAATTACTGGATAAATTTTATCTAGATAATATTTCTAAGAGCGCACTGGAAAACGTGTCTACTGAAGAGCAAGACAACGAGTGAGAATTTCTCCAAGTATTGGAAAGAAGAACAAAGAAATTCTAGGAACAAACATTTGACATTATTTATTGCAGTCATAAATTGTAACAATTGAGAACCCCGGTATTAGAAACATTTGTACTTGCAGTACAATACACATTTTCATTTTTATTACAAGTGCTTCATCTGGGAATTGATAATTACATGAAGGTGTTTGGAAGTTCTTTTTAAATGCTTTTATTCATAAATAATTTTACAGAAATATCAATAACACATCACTGTTTATGATTGTTGACTATAACATATAGGCTATATGCTTACAAAAAGTTTTAAAATTCAAGATTTGAAAAAATAAAAAAAATTTATGTGTAATCATTCGATCAATCTGTTATATGTTACGTAGACTGGTATATTTTTTCAAAATAACAAAAACTGAAGCTTTCTAAACCGACGTAGAGATAGAATATTGCCTATAGTTTACAACGCTACTGGTTTGGGGGGGTGGTTTAATTTTGTAAATCTAGGTCAACACACTTTTGTGCATGGATGGTGTATATTTGATATTGTTTATGTTATTTATATTATTATAATAACAAAGCACTATAATAAGCGATTATTACCTTATTATATGAACAATTATACATGCATTATTTTTTAAGTATTGATATTACGGAAGTACCATAATAATCCGGAAGTACTTTGTTTTTTAGAAAGACTTATGGCTGGATGATTCTGAAAAACGTTTATAAATGTAAAACAGTATGAATATACATATAAATTTACTAAACTCAGGTAAAAATAAGGATTTATGGTTGTTTATATATGTTTGTAGCTGACAAAGTGTCTCCTAGAAGGAATGGCTTTTTTCAGAAAATTCCAACCCTACAAACCTTAGTCGATGCTTATTCGTCGAAGGATAGTCAATTAGCTATAATTTATCAATTACTGCTCAACAGGCATGTGAACGAAGGTTTGTTTCATCCAATAAACAAAAGAAGAGTGTTCCATAGATATAAGAATGGAAGGAGTTATTTTGTACGAACTGTAATCAAGTCTGTATCGATCTAAGCTTTGATTTGCTTTCTTGTATGTGTTTTTTGACTGTATCAACCAATAAATGTTTTGTCACCACCTCCGGGCCATAAATATTTCGCGAAAAAATACCGTCCTCTCCCAGTGTAAAGTAATTAGAAGTGAGGAGGCAGATTATTGGCTGATAAAGTTGATAGTCAACTTTTTTACACTGTAGTTGGTTACTTTCTGTTTATATTGATATTAGATCAACGAATCAGCAACCTGTGAAAAGAGTAAAGCTCAAATTTCCGCTAAGTGATAACTCAGGCTACAATCTTTGAAATACGTATACAATTGCTATAAAATTGTTTGTTTCTATCGTTTTTAGCTCTAATTAGCTAATTTATTGTTTTTAGACAGTATTTAGGTGAGCAAACATTATTTTAGAACAGAGAAGTTATAAATTATTTGAGAAACTGATCTTTTCCACTAACTGTTACATAATATGAGAAAATATGTAAAGAATCGCATGCGAAATTGCTTAGTATAGTCGATTATTGTAAAAGTCATCCAAATAATATAAAAATAATGTTTCTTATACATTATAGCTAAGAAACTGGTGTTGACTTGGACCCTCGATGACTCTCCACTCCCCTCCTAGAAGAGTAATTAGAGAAGTAGTGTAAATAACAGCAATAACTTCTCACTTGCTGTAGCTAGAAGGCTGTGGTTTGTTTTGTTTTCAAACAATAATGTGGGTGACTAATAAATCTACGATATTTTAGCGAATTTCTGTAAATAAATAAATTATTTTCCGTTTTGTTCGGAAATTTAAAATTTTATTATAATTTTAAATTCGTGATAAACAAGAAACTACATGTTTTTTGGAATGATGAATCCAGTGATTACATCACTGGATTCATCATTCCAAGAGCCACTAGTGAGTAAAATTATTTCGAATCCGGTCAAGTACTTTTGGAGTTATATTCGTCCGAAGTTTCGGCATTTGCCGGTCCCCATCTGGTCCCCGCTTGAGTCTGAACTGTCATCTCGAAGGCTTTATATAGCCCAGCAGATTTTTGTGTTTTACAGTCAAATGTAATATGATTTTGCTAGAAAACAGAAAGCAAACTGAATATAACGCGAATTTGAAGCGATATACAACAACTGAAACGATACTTGCATGCGTAAAAGTGGCTTTCCTGCAAAATATCATGTTTTTGATAGAAAAACGCAAAATTTTTATAAAAATTCTGTATATCAATAATTTTCGTTAGCTTATTATCAGAAAAAAAGGTTTTATCTGTCCTACATTGCTTGACCCACAATACCACTACCCCTTTGGAGTTTGTTATAAAAAGAGAAATATAGCATATTGTAAACAAAGACATTTCACACCCTGAGGCTATAAAGGGGTGCAGTTCGTTTAGTAGAGAAGACAATATATTACTTTACATTATAAAATTTGCAAATAAAACTATTGATTTATTTTTATTTTACGGTTTTTCCGAAAATGAAACATATAAATATTATTGTAAATTTGTGTTTTATAGATAAAATTACATCAAATGGTTTTAGATAAAAATAAAATAAAAANACCGCAAAAATTGTCCAAAATTTAAACTTTCATTGGGTATATAATTTCAAAATTTTGTGATGTCATAAACAACATCCAATAGAATACAAAATAAGCTTTTCCCGAGTAATATCGTGCATAGAACGTTTACGAGAGAGTTTTTTATTGTTGCCCGAGTTAACTCGGGCGAAGAACTACGCAAGCGCTCTTCTTGCCCGAGTTAACTCGGGCGAAGAACTTAAGGGGTTAAGCTTACAAACAAATTTCAGTTTTTAATATAGTACAGAAAAAAGTAATTTAAGTTTACTAATGCGTGTACTGTAAATACAGTACATACTTGTAAATGTATATATTATAATATGATTTTATGTGCTTTAAACATTTTTATAGTGATATTACGACTTCAATATTTGTGGCGGACAGACGTAAAGTCGAATAAAATGACTTAAACTTGATTTTTATTTTTCCATATACTTTTTTTGACAAACGACGTATAATCGGGAATGACGTAACTCGAAACGACGTAAGCTGAGGTATACCTGTAGTAGTGACTGTGACAGTCAAGTTCAAAACCCACTTATTTCATAAATCACAAACGTTTATATTAACGATTAAAACTTACATATAGTTATGACATTACAAAAATAAAACAATAATTCAGATATAGCAAAGTTCAAATGTCAATTAAACCACAACAACAGGTCCAACGAAAAGGACTCCTTGCGACGTATTCCTTCAGAGATTGGTTACCGCACAGTGAGACGAAACCAACCTTCTAGGCAAGCTTAGGAGAAGCTTAACAAACTTGAGTTCCTTACATATGTCTTAAGCAAACTAAACTTCCCGCCTAATCTCAATCCTTTTATATGGATTGAGAAGAATGTAATTCCACCAATCAGCGATTAGTAGCACTATTGGCCGTCTGCCGGTTGTACGATGTTTTCTAGCCAATCCACGGTCTAGTTTCAAAACTACTGACATTGCCAGATCCACGTCTCCATTACGTCTGTTGGTTGTTTGAAAACAGGAAAAGCACGGGAAATCGTACATCCAGACGATTTATCCTGACAGTGACTATGAGTTTGATACAAGCGAGGATACAACATTATTTGAGTAGTTTTTCTATCCTATGGTTTCCTGATATATTGTTATATCTGACTTTCAGTAGATGTTTTCCGTATGCGTCTAAAGTATGTTTTAGTCTAATATAAATGGTACTTGTAGTCACTGATGGATAGTGTTCTATTCTTGAATCTCTTTTAGTTCCTGTTTAGCTAGATAGTGTATCTGCTTTCGCATATAATAATGCTGCACTTCTTGCAGAACATTGTATTTACGAATATAGCTTTTTGTTCAGTTATTTGTATATATTTATTAAAATTTTCTATTACTTTTCTTATTTTTTCCCATATGTATTTCGCTAATTGGCATTTATAGAAATGGTGATTTTTAGTTTCATTCTCCCCACACCTTTTGCATTTGGATTCGCTCTCTCCTGTTATATGGCGCTTTTGTGAAAATATCCTGTAGGCAGAATTTCATGTGTTAGCATACAATGCATTGTCATGCTGCTTGGTTCCATATTTATCGAGTTAACTAAAAAATTTTAACATATTATATGATAAACNGCCTATTGAAAGCATTCGGTGGGTAGCTGTCGTTCTTGCATAACCGTAAGTCATAGCTGCCACGAATTTGAAACTACAAACTTTCGAAATTTCAGAAGTTTGTACTTTGAAACCCGAGGAAGGCTTATAAAATAAACCGTAGACGTTTGTAAATTAAACGGTTTTCGTAAGAACTGTAAATTCATACCCGATTTTTTTTATCGAGTTAGGCTACTCTCCCGTACAAAAGTTATAGTTTTGTCTAACTTAAATTAGTCTTTAGATAAACGAGTTTATTAAAAGATAGTTGCCTGAAATTTACTGCAGACCAAAATTTTCGTGATGACAGTATTACAGTCGTTTCCCCCTTATATTTATAGGATCCGGATTGCATCCAGCGACTATATAAAAATTCAATTCGATTTTAAAACTACATTATTATTTTAAATTTATGATTTCTTACATTTTTATTTTTAGTAAGTATAAATATTTATATATAATAAACTAATGCTTTATTTTGTTGTACACGTAATAAAAACATTCAAACGCCCGGTGTAAATTTCAAATTAACAGAAGATATGTTAACTGAGAATTTTTGATGCAATGTATGGAAAGTGACAGGTAATAGAAAATAAATTTTTGCTTGATGTAACTTATTAAAAAGAACAAATTACTGCGCGAAGTGATAAATTTCATT